AAAGGCCTATCACATATCAAGCTCATCATGATCATTTAAAATTGGTAACTTTTGGGGCACCTGGGTGACTCAGTCGGTTAAGCATCTGACTCTTGATTTCAACTCAGGTCACGATCTCATGGTTCATGGGCTCAAGCCCCACATCAGGCTCCACGCTGACAGTGCAGAGCGTGCTTGGGATTATCTCTTTCCCTTTCTCTGCCCTTCTCTCACTCAAGCTCTCTTTCAAAATTATGAATAAACTTTGAAAAACAATTTTTTTAATTGGCAACTTTTAATTAACTCTAAAAAATCAAAACATATTTCTTAATCTTGTTAATTAAATACATCCTGTTTTCCTTCTGGGAAAGTTTTCATATCACAAAATTTGTAATAAAACTATTCTGTAGTATAAAAGTCAGAATTGCGGTTAACTTTGGGTTAGTCGAATAAGGGAAGCTTATGGGATGTTAATAATGTTCTCTATTTTAGTCTGGTGGGAGTTACATGTGTATATAAATTGGAAGAGTATAGCTACCTGAAATAAAAGTCTCATCTTGTGTATATCTGTATGTGTGTATTTTGTCTTTTTATTAAAATATTATTATTTACTGACTCAGAAACATGACTTTAGATAGGTCTGTTTCTATGAACTCTGGCTCTATTGACATTGAAACCATGCACTTACGTTTTGCAAGGTGCAGACAAATATCTTCTCAACTCTACTTTCTGATTATTTCCCTGTTTTGCCTCATTTTTTTCTAAATCTGTTGATGCTTAGCTTTTGCTATTGCTGTTTAGGTGTTTAAACATACTACATGGCAAGATGAATAATATATGCTATTCCAGCAAAGAGAATTTTTTAAATTATTGTCATGTAGATGGCCACATTGTGTACTTTTTCTTAGAGGAGAGAGTATAGTTATTCTTCTGTCTTTCCATGACCTTGTGAAGTCAGTCATATAAACTGCAGCAAACAGAACTGAGGACTTTGTCTTCATCTGGCAAGAATTCCGATGGTTTCTGTTTTCTGAATTGGTTGGTGAGTAGATACAACAAGCAGGAAAAGATTTCAGTGTCTTATTTTTATTTTTTTCAAACAGTACTGTGGTTAACTCTCATTTACCTCACCATATGAAACAAACAGAAGATACTGGCATTCCTAACACATCCCTGGTCCTTTAACCACAGATGCACTAATGTAGCTTAGAGTTTTCTAAAAAAATTAATTTGCTTTCTAAAGGAAAACTGTTCCTCTGCACCTAGAACACTTCTGACACTAAATGTGTGGGTTTTTTCCATATTAACTACCACGTCTCCAGCTCTTCATACTCTACATGGGTGTCCTAGAGTTCAAATCAATTTGACAGTGTCTACGTGGAGTTAGCATCAGACCCCACAGGGTAGTGGCTCAGTACCACTTCAGACATCAATCACAAGTTCCACTGGGATGCCTGGGGAGCTCAATTGGTTTGGCGTCCGACTTCGGCTCAGGTCATGATCTTGCGGTTCATGAGTTTGAGCCCCACGTCAAGCTCTGTGCTGACAGCTCACAGCCTGGAGCCTGTTTCAGATTCTGTGTCTCCCTCTCTCTCTGCACCCCCCTCCCGGGACTTGTGTGTGTGTGCAAGTCTCTCTCTCTCTCTCTCAGAAATAAGTTAAAACATAATTTTTTTTTTTTTTTCAAAATCACAAGTCCCAGGCCTATGGTACTTATGACCAACTTGACTACAGTTTGAAGGTTCCCATGATCCCCTCCTTGGGTTTGATAATTTCCTGGAGTTGTGCAGAGAACTCAGGGAAACACTTGTGTTTACTGTTTTACTATAAAGGATACAGATAAAAAGCTCCAGAAGAAGAACTACAGAGGGCAAGGTATAAAGCAACACAGCTTCCATGCCCTCTCAGGTCACACCACTATCCCGGGATCTCCATGTGTTCACCAACCCAGAAACTCTCCAAACACCATTGTTTAGGGGTTTTATGGGGCTTCATTATACAAGCATGATTGGTGATTAAGTCAGTCTGCAACCCCTCACCTCTTGTTGCCCCTTGGGGAGAAGGGCTGAAAATCCCAACCCTCTAATCACATAATTAGTTACCCTGGTTACCAGCCTTCATCTTCCCAGGTTATTCCATTACCATAAACTCCCTTGTAGTTGAAAGAGGATTATTAAGAATAACAAAAAAGTGCTCTAATCATTCCAATGACTCAGGAAATTCTGAGAGTTTTAAAAACTCTGTGCCAGGAACCTGAGATAAAGACCAAATGTATATTTGTTATATCACATCACAGTGCCCAAGGTGAATACAATGCTTTGTTTTCATATTTGTTTTCTGTGACCTTGAATCTGCAAATATCTGTGCAGTAAAGTATTACTGGCTAACAAATCTATATTATTACGAGTAAGTCCCTTCGTCTCTATAAAGATATCTAGTTAACTAGAAGATGAGAAGGCATGAGGTCACTTCACACTTACTGTTCCACATCTGTTTAAAAAAATTCCAAAGTAGTCCTTCATGTCTATTTTAGAGACTGTACAGTTGTGGTACATCTCCTTTAAATGATGAAGGCACTACTGGCAATGATCACTAACAAAAAGTCATTTAAATAAAATACCTTATAAGTTGACAACTGCAGGATTTTTTTCTTTTCCTTACCACAAATTGACATAAATACCAAAGTAATGAAACAGTTCTAATCTGGAATTTCGCCTCGTACCTTTGATACAATTGATTAATCAGACATGTCGCACAGTGTCCTAAATGCTTAATTTCTGGACTTTATATGTAGTACTAATCATTCAATAATTATTATTACTGTTTTAATTAAAATCGAATCTGCTTCTTGTTGATGTGGTTTGAAGTAGGGTTCAGGAGCCAATGGCCAACAAAGAAATCTTGAGACATTTTCAGTGCAAAAAGGTGTTTTTATTATACATGGGGATGGGACTCGTGGGCAGAAAGAGCTGCACTGGGGTTTTGAGGAGTAACTGATTATATAGGATTTTCTATCCTATGGAAGAGGAGGGTGATGTTAGGGCTCTAGGAAGTTGCATCTACAGGTTTCTGGAGATTGCTTTTTTCTTATAAATCATGAAGACAGTTGCCAACTGATGGAGACTCATGTCCTACACTACTGTGATCTCTATCAGTTGACCATTTGTTTTTCCCTTTGTTTTGGGAAGCCAGGAGTACATAAGGAATGTCACACATATCCCACCTGGTGGAGGGGGGGTGTTGCGGGGTGTTATCTTGTGTTTTGCCCTCAGCTTGCCTTTTGCTTCCTCATCATTGTCACATTAAATTATCCCTAAGAATAACAGCTCAGTTTGAAAACCCTAGAATATGAATATATTTGATTTTTTTAATAGACAAGCTGATTAAAATCCCTAATGGAAGTTCAGAGTATATGTAGTTAATTGGAGCTTCTTGAAGCCCTCACCAAAACACTACTTAAAATTATACACACAAAAAATGTTACACATCCTTGCAACATGCCTGTGTCAAGTGTTAGAGAGGCCATATGGAGAACTACTAAAATCAGAAAGAATGTATCCATGTGGGAATGAAGAAAACAACTGCAATTTCAAAACATCAGAAGGGCACATGGGTTTATCAGATAAAAAGGAATATTCATATAGGAAAAATTCCCTGATTGTGAGTAATTCAAGGATGATGGATCATAAACAAGCATAAAGAAATATCAGCAACAACTTCATTGATCTCTTTTTTATTAGATATTGGACAGGTCCAGTGGATAGAAAGAGTCGCACTGGGGTTGAAACCAGTGACTGATTATATACCTTCAGGTTGGGTGGGGGTTAGAGATAGCATAAATCTCCAAGGTATTTTGGAAACAAGGTTTTAAGGGCCTGGAGGAGGCTAGCTGCCGTTAGGAAAAGGTCATTTATTACCATTTAGTAAAAACTCAGTCATGAGACCCTTCAGATGTATATCAGTGGGCCACATAAGCTTGGAGTAGGATTGCCCACCTATATCTTGGGGGGTAGAGATCAAAGAAGTTTCCAAAGGAATTTTTATATGTTAAAGTAGACTTGCAGGATCCTGGAGGTCAGGATAATGTTAAGCTAAGATTGCCTTTTGCCCTCAGCCAAGTATCATCATTGAGGCAGTGGAGTTCTAGAGGAAGGTCACTCTGCCTGTCTCAAGGACTTGTCAATGGGTTGTAAGTTGTAAGGAAATGTAATTTTTTTCTTTTGCCTTTGTTTCCCACATCATATACCACATCTTCTTTATCCCTTCATCTATCAGTGGACACGGGCTGCTTCCATAGTTTGGCTGTTGCAGATAATGCTGCCATAAACATAGGGGTGCATGTATCCCTTTGAATTTGTGTTTTCATGTTTTTTTGGGTAAATACCCAGTAATGTGATTACTGGATTGTAGGGTAGTTCTATTTTTAATTTTTTGAGGAACTCCGTACTGTCTTCCACAGTGGTTGCACCAGTGTAGATTCCCATCAACAGTGCACGAGGGTTCCTTTTTCTCCACATCTTCACCAATACTTGTTTTTTCTTGTGTTGTTGATTTTAGCCATTCTGATAGGTGTGAGGTGATATCTTGTCATTTCGATTTGCATTTCCCTGATGATGAGTGATGTTGAGTTATCTTTTCATATTTTCCTTAAATGTTTCCTTTGACCTGTGAGTCAAAAGTGAGTGATGTCATTCATGAGTAGTTGTAATAGGAAACTCAAACTGAACACATGATGAATCAGCCCTTCTCTCAGGAAGAACACTGTAGCAAGTCTCAATTAGCATGCATATCCTCACAGTCCTATTTCCTAGGAATTGTAGTCCTAATTCATTCCACACCCTTTGTATTAGAATCTTAAAACTTATGTGATTTGATGTAGGGTTCAGGAGGGAACAGTCAAGAAAGAATTCTTGAGACATTTTTGGTGCAAAAAGGTGTCTTTAATTGAAGCACAGGGACAGGACTCCTGGAGAGAAAGAGTTGTACTGGGGTTGTGAGGAGTGATTGATTACATACTTTTAAGGTGGGAGGGGTAGAGAAAAAGAAAGTCTCCAAGAGGATTTTCATATATTAAAGAAGACTTACAAGATCGTGGAAGTCTGACTATTGTCGAGGTAAGGTTGTTTCTGCCACTAGCAAAGCATTAATATTAACACAGTTGGGAGTTCCTGGAGGAATGTCATACTCTCCCTGTCTCAAGTATTTGTCATTGGGCTGCAGGTTATGAGGAAATTTAATTTTATCTACATCTCCTTTTGTCTTTGTTCTCTATGTCAAAAACCATACCCTTTGTTTTAAGGGTCCTTTGAAGCATCTGTCATAATTAGGATATATATAGAAAACAGGAACTGGGCACCTGAGCGGCTCAGTCAGTTAAGCATCTAACTCTTTATCTCAGCTCAGGTCATGATCTCACAGTTCATGAGTTCAAACTCCACATCAGGCTCTGTGCTGACAGTGCAGGGCCTGCTTGGGATTTTCTCATTCTTCCCCTCTCTCTGCCCCTTCCCCACTCATGCTCGCTCTCTCTCTCGCTCTCTCTCTCTCTCAAAAATAAATAAACCTTTTGTTAAAGAAGAATCTTTAGAGAGTGGGGAATGTGTTCAACCATCATTTTGCAGTTACTGATCAAGTGTTGGACATGCAAATAGGAACTAAGATTACAATGATAAAGATAAACTTGTCCCTAGCAGTGAGGTATCATCAGCGAAACAGAGTCAATGGGTAACTTAAGTTTTCAAAATCATGCCATAGGTACAAAGAGATCACAAAGGACGGCCACCCAACCCGCTTTAGAGGATTCAGGAAATCCAAGACTTCATGGAGAAACCAGTCTGCAACATAAAGTTGAGGATCGTAGAGGTTGTTGGAAGAAGTCTGAATACTGTGCACAGGTATCTAGAATAGAGGTGTTAACATGTCAAGCTTGTGCAGTTGGAAGTAGTTCATTATAACAAAAGCAAAGCATGCAAACATCAGCTGAAAGGGAAGTCTAAAAACATCAAGATACACCGCAGACACACTATACAACTAACATCTAAAACTGTAATTTGAAGTTGGAAAGCGAAGACACACAAGCTGGGATTTCAGAATTGCATCATATTCTTATTCAGACCTTATTTTTCAAAGAATTTAAGGAAGTAGAATTCAACCCTATAATATAAACAAGATTAGGATATATGTTTTTCCCCCCAGTATTGGACCTCACTATTTATTACACCTCTCTTTTGAACTGGTTGATGCTTTTCTAAGAATGTAAAATTTCCTAAATACCATCATCATTGTCATCATCACCACCACCATCATCACCATAAACAGCATCGTTGGTTTTTTTTCTTATACTCCTGAACAAGTATTACATACTCCTTGTAAAATTTCCAAAGATACAAAGGTTTATACCGAATAAAATAAGTATTCCTCTCATTCCTGATCTCAGAAACCTAGTTTCCCCTAGAAGCAACCAACAGTGCTAGTTCCTCATGTGTATACAAATAAGTATTATGAATTCCATTTTTTTTTTTGCAGAAATAGTGCCCTAGTCTCATTGGTTGGCACTTTTTCCACATTACAATAGATCTAGTAAGTTGTTCTGTGTCATTACAAATCGTGCTATTTCTCAATTTTCTGGCTATATAATCTTCCATTGTAGAAGTGTGCTGAAATTTACATTACCACTCCCATATAGACATATAAGTAGTTCCAATCTTTAGAGTTACAGACAATGCCACAATGGACATGTTATCAATACACAATTTTCATGACTGTGTGTGTGTATGAGAGAGTGTGTGTATACCTTAAAACTGAGTATGTGGTGCCAAAATGGACATCTATTAACATTTAATATATATTAGACACAATTTGCAATAGATATTACACAATTTGGGCTTCCATGAAAGGACAGGTTTTCAGAAACATTGGGAACACAGTTTGATAGCATGGGAGGTAAAATATTGCATCTTATAGTTTTGTTTCATTTCTCTTATTTTGAGTTACTTGAATATCTTGCTTTTCTATAAGCTATCTGTTCAAAGCTTGCCCACTTTTATTGATTTGTGGCCCTTTATGATGTATAACTCATATAAATCAGCTCTTTCCTCTGACAGAAATCAAGGCTGTCTCTTCAGAACATTCTTGGCTTCTGAATTTCTTTAGGTTCTTTTTCACTATAATGAATTTATCTTTATTTTAATGTAGTTTTTGTCAGTGTTTATACATCTTTGGGGTTTATGGCATTTAAAAATAAATTTGATGTTCCAACATAATTTTATAATTATCTGACATTTACTGTTTCTGTGGAGCTTTTTGATGTTTCATCTGAAGTCAAGCTGGAACTTACTTTACACAAAATTTACAATAGATCTACTCACCTTCTTATTCTACACAGCTCTCCAGTTGTCTGACAACAGCTGTTATGTAGTTCATACTGAACTGTATGTTCCCACTGATTTTACTTTTTTATTTTATTTTTTAAAAATGTTTATTTATTTTGGGGTGGGGGAATGAACACACAGAGAGAGAGAGAGACAGGGAGAGAGAGAATCCCAAGCAGACTATGCACTGTCAGCCTGCTGTCTGTGGGGTTCTATCTCACAAATTGTGAGATCATGGCCAGGGCCAAAATCAAGAGTTCGTTGTTTAACTGACTGAGCCACTCGGGTGCCCCCAAAAGTGTTATTTTAAATTACTGGGGGAGGTGCCTGGGTGGCTCAGTCAATTAAGTGACTGACTTGATTTTGACTTAGGTCGTGATCTCATGATTTGTGATATTGAGCCCCACGTGGGGCAGTGGGCTGACAGTGCACATTCTGCTTGGGATTCTCTCTCTCCCTGTCTGTATGCCCCTCCCCTGCTTGTGTGTGTGTGCATGCACGTGCTTTCTCTTGCTCTAAAAAAAAAAATAAATATGCTTAAAAAAATAAGTACGTAAATAACACTGTTCACATGCACTTAATTCCTATATGTGGTGGGGTTTCTACTTTTAGACTACACGGTATGTTCTGTTCTTATGTTTTTATATTTATGCTCGGTGACACACTGTTCTAATTCTTGCAGATCATACATTTCATTGTACCTCTTCTGAATTGTCTTGGCTTTTGATTTTTTTGATCAGCTCCATTTAAATTTTACAATTAGCCTTTTTAAAATTTTAACTTGCAATGCATAAAATTTACAGGTAAACCAAGAAAGAATTGCTTTGCATATGGCGCTGGCCCGTCCTACTCGAGAACACGCTATGGATATCTATTGGAGTAATTATTCAGATGCAACTTTCAGAAGCACTTCTTGATAAATATATTCCAATGTGTTTCTTTCCAGGAGGCTACAAATTTGACCTTCTCTTTGTCTTCTAATCAGTTATTTCCACATCCATTTAAATTAACTGTCCAGCCACATTTACTCTATCTTTTGTCAACCATTGATGTCCTATAGTAGGGCATTTCTATTTTTTCTGTTTTCTACTTTTCTATTTTTCTGTTAAATTTTGCTGAAAAACAGAAAAGGTACATATGCGTGAAAATAAGCTATATCAAAAAGCTGTTATGAAAACTTGTGAAAATTACCTGAAATTATATACAAGAGAAAAACTTGACCATTAGTAAAATCAACTCTTGTAGCAGCTCACAAATTTGAGGCCACCATGAAGGCCGCGAAGTATCTTCTCTGTCATTGTTCTCCATTATCTTTGGAGTGCAGTCAGTTTCAGTATGTTGCTTGTTACCAGTCATGATTTTTATTTGGGCCTAAAATTGTGTGATACATTCATAAAAGAAAAACATTTAAAGATCTCAAACTTTCAGGAGTAAGGTTACATATTAATAATTTATAAAATTATCTGCATTTTCCTTTTTCAAGTATTCTCTCTTATTAGATCATTTACAGCAGGAATATCTCCTGGTTTGGGGCTGGGGAATAAGAAGCACAGTACCACCTTACTTATATTCATCCATCACTAAGGTTTTGCGAGGGTGCTAAACAGGTGTGAGGACAATTGTATGATATTCTATTAATGCTATTTAGGAGGGACTCTTTCATCTGAATGGCACAAATGCTCACCCACATCTTAGAAATAATGGGAATGTCTAAGCTGGTTGAGAAATCTGATGCAAACACTTCCAGTCGGGAGAAGAGAGAATTTCTCCTATGTCGCATGCTGACTCAGACAGGCCATCCTCTCCTGGGGACAGCTACAGGTTCGGAGCTATCAGTCCCCCTCACTTCTGAGTCTATACATATCTGATGGTTTTAGGTCAGCAGGGATCTATCTTAGGGTCTTTGGGTGGGTAGGGTGCCTGAAAACTGGCAGTAATCTTGGGAAGGTGAACCAATTGCTGCTTTTATTACATACACCCAGTTAGGACATCTTCGACGATAAATCTGACCACCCCATTTAATATTGGCTCTGTGAGATCATCCAGGAATCCCTCAGAACAGCAGCACATGCCCTGGGAAGGTGATTTATATTCCGGAAATTCTTGGAGCTACAAGTTCCTATGGGACTCTCCAGAAACTCGGCGTGAACACAGCCCATGTGCCCTGACACAAGCCATTACAGATTCAGGGCTTGTAGTGAATTGAGTGCAGTAAATGACAGCAGTGCTTCTCTGTCTGGCTTTGCTTTAACTTTCAGCCCTCCCTTGCTAGGGTTCCAGGGCTTTCTTCTGCAGTCACTGCCCAGACCCGAGCCAGGCTTACCTCCAGCCTCTGAATCCTCTCATTCTGCCCTCTCAGAAGGTTTTTTCTCTCTCTCTTTATCTCCTCTCTCATTTGGCCCATGGATTCCTGGAAAATTGTTTCTAGAGTCTCTAACTTTTGCTGCAGCATTTTACACCTTTTCTCAAGAAGCCGCTTTTCCTTCTCAGCTGTCTCTCTTTTGGCTTGCTCCTCTGCTCCAGGCAAGAAAACAACGGTTAAGCCTGAAAGCAACAACCCCCTGTCCCACAACCACCACTTTCTCAGACACCAAACTGTCTGGGAAGAGCAGACAGAAATGTCCAAATTTAACTCATGACCACACATCGAGGGCAGGTTTGAGAACAAGGTGGGAAAGGCCCTCTGACTGGCTGGCCGACGAACAACCACACCTTGTCTTATTATTTTCAGATTTAGTAGAGCATGCCTTCCACAGGAGAGGAAACTCCTTGCTTCGAGAAGATCTTCCTGTCAGAGGTCTCAGAGGGCCTGGCAGGAACCTCCCTCCCCATCATGCCCAGAGCCCTCCCCATACCTGCTAAGGCTTCTTGTGCCTCATGGAGAAGCTCATCTTTCTTCATGCAGCTTCCCTCTAGTTCCTTCTTCATCTGCACTAAACTCTGGGAACCACAAAGGGCAAAGACATATCAGGCAGGTCTAACCTGAACTTACGTTGAAATATTCTGAGAAAAAAAACTGCCCTGATCAAATTCCCTAGTTGTTCCCCACCCCCCAGCCCAACCCCACCTACATGCATGTTCTAAGACCCTGCCTGTCTCACTATTCCTCCAGCCTCGTCTGCCAATGCTGCTTCCCTCCACTCGTGCTAGGTTCCACAAGTCAGAAGAAAGTGCAGTTTTCCAGATGTGTAACCTCAGATTCTTTCATATTTTTCACATGCTGGGTTTTTTTTTTTTTCCTGCTTGTGACTCCTCCAGTAACATCCACCCTGGATAATATGTACAAATCTTTCAAACTGTATGTCACACTCCTCTTCCAGGAAGATTTCTTAGACCACCTTCCTCATGTGAAAGAAATCACTGTACATTTACATTTGTACATCTTTGTCAATTGTACATTTTCACTGCATGAAACTTATGGTGTGTGAATTACTGTTCAATGAAACTTGAATTACTACCATCTCAGAAATACTCCTTCAAGACTATTGGTTAAGTTTCTGAACTCCCTGAGCCTTCCTTGTGAAATGCTGAGTTTGTATTATATAATCTCTATGGCTCTGTGAAGCTATGGCATCCTGTAATGCTATCTATAAGGCACGATTAACAGTCATACAACTCAAAGTAAAATAAAGGTAAAGAATGATCTGGTAACAATCTTCCCAGAGAACTTTGGATTGAATGGGTGAGAGTGCACAGAAAAAGCAGCCAGCTCAAAATAACTGAAGCATGTTTCAAGCCCACAGGGAAACTAGATGTTCCGTCAAGGAGGCCATCTGAGTGTCTGTACTAACTTTGCTTCAGAGATTAGACAGATTTCCAGATAAAGTGCCTGAGTTTGGAGGCGAAGGAGATAAAATAGAGTAATAGTATCCTTTTAACTCTCTTATTCAGAATAATCAGCATCCTTCTGCTGTGAATGTTAGCTAATCTATGGACAATCAGGTGCCCTTTAGGTAGAGGGGGTAACATGAAGAATCAACTATTAAGACTAAGTACCATGTACTTCTTCCATAACTCCTCGTCATTTTGGGGAGGCTGCTCCGTGGGGGCTGCTCCATAGCCCAGGTCTGGTACTGCCACGACCATTTCTGTGGGAACCTCACTCTGTAGAGCCACTGAGTCCTCACACTAGGACACAGATATCACCGTGTTCTCCAGAGAAGGAACCTCTCCGCTGTTGAAGGCATCCACTAAGGTCACCAGAATCCCCAGCCCTGAATGAGGCAAGAAGTTTAGGGTATCAATGAGATTCAAAATTAGAAACTATAAATTCTAAAATGATTTTTTAAAGACGCTATGACGTTTGAAACTTTTTATAAATCCCATCTCCTCCTACTAAATAAGTGTTTTCCTCCTGATCACTGCACTTAAAATTTTTCAGTATCTATTCTCAGTTAACATGCTCTGACATCTTTTGGAAAAAGAATTTCCAAATGAGGCATAAAAACACAGTAGACAACCACACAACTTAATAACAATCAATTACAAAATCAGCAAAGGAACTACACAGGCATATTTCCAAAGAAGACATCCAAATGGCCAACAGTAAATGAAAAGATCACTAATCATCGGGAAAATAAGAGATATCTTAAAACCAGAATGAGATGTCACCTCACACCTGTTAGAATGGCTAATAGTAAGAAGACAAGAGATAATCATTAGTGAGGATGTGGAAATGAGAGAACCTTTGTACACGGATGGTAGAAATGTACATTGTAAATTGGTTCAGCCACTATGGAAAACAGTATGGAGGTTCCATAAAATTAAAAAATAACTACCATGGGGCATCTGGGTGCCTCAGTCAGTTAAGCATCTGACTCTTGATTTCGGTTCAGGTCATGATCTCATGGTTTGTGAGATTGAACCCCTCACCTCCCCCTCCAGGTTCTGTGTGCTGTCAGTGCACAGCCTGCTTGGGACTCTGTTTCTTCCTCCCTTTCCTCCCCTCACCTGCGCGCGCTCTCTCTCTCTCTCTCTCTCTCTCTCTCTCTCTCACACACACACACACACACACACACACACTCACTCTCTCTCTCTCTCTCTCTCAAATTAAATAAAATAGAACTACCATATTATCCAGCAATCCCACTTAGGGGTATTTATCTAAAAGAATTGAAATCAGGATCTCAAGGAGATATATATATGCATTCTCATGTTATTGCAGCATAAGTGACAATAGCCAAGATATGGAAACCTAAATATCCATCAATAGATGAATGGATAAAGGAATTCTGTACATATATACAGTGGGATATTGTTCAGGCATGAGAAATAAGGAACTGTTGCTGTTTGTGACATGTATGGACCTCAAGGGTATTATAGTAAGTGAGATAAGTCAAATACTCTATGACAGCACTTGTATGTGGAATCTAAAAAACCTGAACTCATAAAGACAGTAGAAGGGTAATTACCAGGGGCTGGGAGTTGGGGGAAGTGGAGGTTTGTGGTTTACAAGGGTATAAACTTGCAACTAGTAAATAAATAAGTCCTAGAGATGCACAGCATAGTGATTATAGACAACAACACCAGATTATAAACTTCAAAGTTGCTAAGCACACACATACACACACATATGATAATTAAGTGACATGATAGAGATGTTAGTTAAGACTAATATGATTGTAATCATGTTGCAATATATAAATATATCAATTCAGCAAGTTTTATACCTTAAACTTATAAAATGTTATATGTCATTTATATCAATAAAAATAAAAATAAAGTAGATATGAGGTGAAGCAGGGTAAATGAGATTGTATATATTCCTACTAAAATTCTACCGACTTTGAGGAATTGTTGGAAATTTAGTTTTCTTGGGAATAATATATATATTATATATTATATATTATATATTTTATATATTACATATTTTATATTTTATATATTATATATATTTAATCTCTGAGAAGAGCATTTCTCATACAGGTTGTCTCCTCAGATACAATGGAAAATTGCAAACCCAGAAGAGCTTCACAGTAAAATAAGACCACAAAGTCATTCTCTAGCCTCAGAGTTATCCGAAGCATGAATACATCAGCACTTCTGTACTTTTCCATGGCACAAAATGCGGGCTACCATTGGCCATCTGCAGAGTGCTGCCTGCATTATTCTCCAAATCTCTGATGAAGCTAGAGACAAAATCCTGGGTATCACCAGTCTCCGATGTGTTGCTCTCATTGATTCTAACAAGAACCTGCAAAGTAGGCTTATTCTACTCACTTTGCAAATGAGATCAGAAAGTCAAAGTAAGGTATTTGCCAAAAGCACATAGTGAATAAATGGTAGACCCATGACTAGAAGCCTGAAGGTCTGTTTTACTATTCTATGTTTGGCACCCAATTACCTGGCAAGATAATTTTCTTCAAAAACATTGGTTACCCATATGCCATGATTAATAACTTCTACGGGATTTCTGTTGACTCTCCTATCTTCACAATACCTGCTCTAAAGTATTATTGTGACCCGATGGGCTCCTCTTGTTTCTGCAGAGTCAGGATGACAGCCGCAAACCACTCAGCAGTTTCTAGACCTGGCTCTCTCCTGGCACAGCTCAGTGCTTCACCAAGGGCTCCAGTTCAGCTCAGGTTTATGAAAGATATCTTTTCATATTTTTATTCCTTGATATCTAGTCCCATTCACTGTGCCCCCCCCCTTTTTTTTACTTCAACTCATTGGTTGAACATCTATTATTTGCCACATGTTGTGCTTGTGTGCTTGGATTAAAAGATGAATAAGCTGCAGCCCCTGCCCTCAGAGTGATACTAAGATAACTATTAGGTTAGAATTAGGCTTAGCTGCGACAGTTAGGAAAGAAATGTGTCATAAGCAGTTTATGTTTATTTCTCCCTCATAAATTTCAGGGTTAGTAGTCTGGGGATGGTATGTAGTTGTGTTTCATAAGGATGGAAGCTTCAGATCCTATCATATGCTCAACCATCTGTAAGGGGCAGTCCCTGGTGTGCTGTCATTTGTATTCTAAGCAGAGAATACTAACTCTTTACCTTACTATGTAAAGTCTATGTAAACTAAATCGCTTCTTAGGTTATCCATATTCCCGTACACAACCACAAGAGAGGCTGGAATTGCCATCATTATTCTGGGAAACTATGTGCATGGCAAAGAAGCAGGAGTTCTATTAGTAGGGGAGAAAGGAAGAATGGTTACAAGGGGATAGTTAACACTACTTCCCAGTAACCATCTCAAACTAGGAAGATGACGGACAATGCAACAAGGATTATACTCTACTGTTGATCACAACTCTAATCATCTCCACTAAGGTCTAAGCTGGAGGAGAAAGGCTTCCTGACTATTCTGTTCTCTGCCCGGTCCCCATGTTGGACACATGGTAGACCGGTTAAACTGAAATAATCCTGAGGAGAGAGAGAGAGATGTGAGTGATAGGGGTTCATTGAATTACAAGTGGAGATGACTTAATTCAGTTTGGGAATACAAAAGAAGAAAAGCCTCTGGGAACTATAAGGGGTAACAGCACTGGCAGACCATGGGGTTTCAGAGGCAACACAGACAGAGTGAGCCCTAGAAGAAGGGAGAGGTTAGCTATGTTAAATACCCAGAGAATTCACTGCAAGCATTAGCAGGATGGCCAGGGATGTCCTTACCAGAGTGACGGAATAGTAGCCAGAGGGAGAGGTAGGAATGGCTGTGGGGGAATGAGATGGATCCAAAGAAAGAAAGTAGAATCATGTCTGGATCCCAAGATCTATGTGCCAAAGTATTTAGTGGTGAAGAGTCACAGCCTCTGTTACTTCTCCAAATAATAATCAGAATAAGAATGTTAATAGAAAAACTTACATATCTATTTAGAAAGAGAGCATGCAGATGTCACAAAATATCACCACAGAGGGAAATCCAAGTGAATGGTGTGTAAGAATTCATTGTAGTCTTAAACTTCCTCTGTAATTCAGATTTTTTTTAATGTGTAGATTTTAGAACAAGAATATGTAACAGCGTTAAGTGGAAAATCTCAAACACAAGGTTTTACAGCTTACATATTTACATGTATCTATTGCATTCCTCTTCTGAGTTCTCATGTTTATGTCAGAAATTAGGGTTTTAAGCCCAAACCTAAAGTGCATGTAAAAGACAGTTTAGAAATGAACATACCTGAGCCATAGATTGCTGTTCTGTTCAAGAATGAGCATCCAGGTACCTCTTAACTCACCCTTGCTGTTTTCTTCTCCCACAGAAGCTGAAAACAAACTGAGGTTGTTAAGAAAGGAAATGAGCATAAAGCTGAACCTGAAAGTAAAAGCACTTCATGCTATTTTTAATTATTTGGGGAAAACCTGCTGGAACCCAGACGCCAGAGCCAGAGAAGGTATGAGGGTGAAGCAAGTGAGAGCAGCCCAATGACTCTGCAGTTAGGCCCTAGGAAATTGCACCAGACCAGCTTTATTTTCTCCCCAGCTCGCCTGTCCACAAAGGGACTGCTGCCTGAGACCAAGGGCACAGAGCTGCTGGCTCCAGGGGCCGCAAGCAGACTAGGTTTGGCAGCTGGCCATTGACAAAACCCAAAGGCAGAGAGAGGAGTGGTGGCGAGTCAGGAAAGGAATTTGTTTCAGGGAGGCTGACACTGGGAAGACAGTGGACTTGTGTCCCAAAGGCTGTCCCCAAAGTGCCAAAAAATATTTCCAGGTTCATATAAGGAAAATGTGGGACAAAGTGGTAGGTAGGTGCAACTGGGCAGCAAAGGTCAGGTGGATCATTGTCTTGGGGTCAATCACCCAGGGTCTTGCTGGTCTTAAGAGAACTTAATCAGTTAGAAAGTACAGACTGAAGTCAAAATGTGGGTAGTTTGAGTCCTCCCTAGACTCGATCCTTTTCCAGGACTACGATGTCTGTAGGTGTGCATTCTGTTGTACTTTTATGTCTTGGAATTCATGGAGCTTCTTGAATGAGTCGATTAATGTTTTTCAGAAATTATGCATGTTTCTGGTTATTATTCCTTCATATATTTTTTCTAACACTTTCTACCTTTTATCTATTGATGAGACTTCCATTCTGCCTATATTTGCATGCCTGGTGATGCCTCACAGTCTGTGAGGCTCTATTATTCTTAATTTCTTTTTCTTTTCTGTTCCTCAAAATGGGTTCTCTCTGTTGATTTATCTTCAGTTCACAGATCTTCCCTTTGCCAGATCAAATCTGGTTTTTGAGCCACTGTAGTATATTTTGTATTCCAGTTCTTATACTATTCCACTGTGGAATTTCTATTTCATTATTTTGGTTAACTTCTTCTTGTTATTAGTATTATCTTTTTTTTTTTTTTAATTTTTTTTAACCTTTATTTATTTTTGAGACAGAGAGAGACAGAGCATGAATGGGGGAGGGTCAGAGAGAGGGAGACACAGAATCCGAAACAGGCTCCAGGCTCTGAGCTGTCAGCACAGAGCCCGACGCGGGGCTCGAACTCACGGACTGCGAGATCATGACCTGAGCCGAAGTCGGATGCTTAACCGACTGAGCCACCCAGGCGCCTCAAGTATTTTCTATACCATGAGTCATTTTCAACACACTTTGGGTCTTTAAACATAGTTACCTTTAGTTCTTTAAACATACTCATAATAGCTGCTTTGATGTATTTTCCTGTTAAATAAGGTATTTGTCTGCTAAAGCCCCAAGAGATGGTTTCTATTAACTTTTTTTCCTACGATTAGGGCAACTTTTCTGTTTCTTTGCATGCCTCATAATTTGTTTTGAAAACTGGACATTATAAATAATATGATGTGGACTCCAGTGTCCCCTGAAGAGATTGTTGATGGCTTTATACTTTGTTTAGTGACTTGGCTGGACTAATTCTTTGTTTTTTTTTAAGTTGTGTTTATTTTGAGATAGAGACCACATGCGTGGGAGAGGGAGAGAGAGAATCCCAACCAGGCTGGACACTGTCAGCATGGAGCCCTATGTGGGGCTCGAACCCATGAACTGAGTGATCATGACCTGAGTGGAAGTCAACTGAGCCACCCAGGAGCCCCTACTGAGACTAATTCTGTATGGTCTAATTAGCTTGCCATATGTGGCCACTCATGGCTCTGCTTGGTTATGTTTTTTTTTTTTTTTTTTTTTTTTTTTTTTTTTTTTCAACATTTATTTTATTTTTGGGACAGAGAGAGACATAGCATGAACGGGAGAGGGGCAGAGAGAGAGGGAGACACAGAATGGGAAACAGGCTCCAGGCTCTGAGCTATCAGCCCAGAGCCCGACGCGGGGCTCGAACTCACGGACCGCGAGATCGTGACCTGGCTGAAGTCGGACGCTTAACCGACTGCGCCACCCAGGCGCCCCTGCTTGGTTATGTTTTAAAGTATTTTTCACTTAGGGGCACCTGGTGGCTCAGTCAGTTAAGCATCTGACTTAGGCTCAGGTCATGATCTCACTGTTAGTGGGTTTGAGCCCTGCGTTGGGCTCCGTGCTGACAGCTCGGAGCCTGGAGCTGCTCTGGATTCTGTGTCTTCCTCTCTCTCTGCCCCTTTCTGCTTGCACTGTCTCTCTCTCTCAAAAATAAATAAACATTTAAAAAAAATAAAAATTTTCTTTCATTTAGTTTTTAAGATAGACTTTCTAAAAGTCACCTCTGACCTCTGAGTCATCATAGTTTACTGATGAGCCCATGCTAAGCTAGAATTTATGCTTAAATACCTCGAGCTGATAAAATTATCCTTTGTCCATAGCCTTTCAGAAGGCATTATTTCTGCATATGCAAGGCCTCACACACAACCAGGAGAATGTAGCAAAGAGTGAAGCAAGGAAAGAAAGTAAACAAATCCAAGGATGTGTTATGGTGCCACTCGGAGCTCCTGGGGCTCAGTCCTGCCAGCCTACCCACAATGAAATTCAGTGAGTCTCAGAGAATTCCTCATTGCACAATGAAATCTGGTGGAGGGAGAGTCAGCAGTGTGATAGAGGTTGCTGATATGGGAATTAGGCCACCTGCTCATGTAACTTTGTTTTGTCTGGTAGCTACCCAAATAAACTTGAGATTTGGATGGTCAGACAGTATGTACCTCATGATGGAAAGCTCTGCTCCTGTTCTGACTTGATATACTAGAGTCAGGAGCTCAGCAGCCCCAAAGTGGCTTTTCAAATAGCAAGTGACCTTCTGATGCAGAAGCTTTGACCTTGTGCTGAAACCCTGAAAGCTCTGCTAAGATGGTTACGATTGCCGGAGAACTTTCTCTCCGCCTGCTCCCTCTGTCACCACCGTCTCTCCCTGCCCACATCAAGGGAACAACTATTCTACTTTGTTTGGCACTTGATACAACTGGATCCCTGAAGTATGTATTCTGTAATGTCTGGTGGCTTATACTCAATATTATGCATGTGAGATTTGCCCATATTTTTGTGTATAGCTGCAGACTGTTTATTTTCTATGCTGTATAGTATTCAGCAGTAAGGATCTTCTGTAATTTATTTATCCCCTCATTTATTGACAGACTTTAGAGCAGTTTCTGTTTTCTTGGCTGCTATAAACATTCTTGCATGCATCTTTTAGATCACATCATACCTGCACATTCTCCTTGTGTATATACCTATGAATGGGTTGCTGAAGAGCACGTGTTCCGCCCAATAGATCTGACAGACACTGGTCAAACAGTCTCATGGTTGTGCCAATTTATATTTGCACCAGTAGTGTAGAATATTCCAGGTGCTGTGCAAGCTCGCCAAACTTCAGTAAGGTCTGCCTTTTCTTCATTTGGTAGATGAGTAATAGTAATGTGTTGTGTTTTTAATGACTTATGAATGACGTATCTTTTCATATGCTTTTTAGAGATCCTCTTTCATGATTTTTTTTAACAAAAATATTGCCATTTATATATGTGTCTGTTTTTAATGTGCGTTTTTTTGGTTGTTTATGTTTCTATTTGGAGATCTTTTGCATGCCTCTGTGTGTGTGTGTGTGTGTGTGTGTGTGTGTGTG